TTTTTTTGTAAAGCACTTTGGTATGCCTAAGGCTTTTAATGTGCTCTATAAATAAAGGTTGTTGTTGTTGTTGTTGTAATAATAATGATAATAAAAGTCACTATGAGCAAGGGGCTGATCCAGATGGGAGAAAGACTGTTTAACAAAATTCCTGATAAGTTCCTGATTTGTAAGTGTTGAAATAAATGAGCAGAGGGGAGCATAAATTTGATTGCTGCTGAGCAAATGAAGCAAACAATTGTCAATGTAGACGTGCTTAATAGTGTGAAGACCTAAATCTGACCAATGCTTATACACGGGGTCCATCAAGCCAAGTGAAAGAGAAAGGTTTTGAGTTACGGGGGTAAAAAATGATAGGTCTGGAAGGCACAGAGCATCCCTAACTTGCTTTAAGATCCTGACTGAGTGACCAAGGACAAAATCTTTACTCTGAAGTTTGGTAGGTACGGTAGGTTTAGAAAACAGAATAGCATCAAGCGATGTACTAAAAATGGATTCAGGTATGTGCGCCTCTATAAAAGGCCAGGAAGGACCGCATCCCTTCTGAACCGCAGGAACAGCTGAAGCATTATTCCAGAAAACCCACGTTCTGGCATTGCAAGCCCAATAACATTCCTGAAAACTGGGAGGCCTAATCCGCCCTCTGAGGTGGGTTTCTGTAACTGTGCCTTTACAATTCTACGTGGTTTATGTGCCCAGGTGAAAGGCATCTCAACTGAACAGTCTGCATGCATTAGCTAAATGTTAGTGTTTTATGTTCTATGATTATTAGTAAAAACATAAACAAACAAAAACACATTACAGGCATTGTAGGACAAAAGTATTGTTTTCAGTCCTCGTGTATTTTTGATAGTGTATTTGTGAAAAACTAATATCAAATGTCAACTCTTAGCCTATATACAAGGGCAAATTATTGTTTTAGCTGTTTGCATTGCAGCCAATTGTACAACTGGGAATTTTGTACAATGGGATTCACAGGAAGTGGAACTGTGCTGGTAAATTGGCTTTGATATGATGCCGATGACAAAACAGTTCTGCTCACAGTCACCAGCACCATCACCAAAAATGATTTAAACCATCAAAATGAACAAAGATACAGTTTGCAGTGTCAACCCTTTTTATTCAAACAGACCAAACAGGGGCTACACCTTCACTCAGCTTCAAAAGGAAACATCGCACTCACAAAGCTTTTAGTGCTGGCAAGCATTTCCAACAAATCACATGTTGTTTAAATTATACACCGAATATCGAAGACAAAACCTTCAGAGAGTTTCAGTCAAAGATATCGTTAGGTCAGAATCAGAGAGACTTTATTGATCCCAGAGGGATATCATACAGAGCTCAACACATTTATTAGACCTGTCATAAATTTGAGCCAGCGCAGGAACGTACAAATGTATTAAGCATCAAATTCAAACAATAAAACATTTTTTTCTGTTAAGGAACAAAAGTGAATAACTGCAATTTTGCATTGTCAAAACATTTGTTGACAATTTTAGTATTTAACATTTTTTGGTTGTTTTTTTGAAAAAAAATATTAGTTTAAAAATTCATGGAAAAAAACAAAAATGATATATCAGCATTAAAAACGATTGTTTCAGTTAAAGAGCTTGTGCATACGTGTGCGTTAACCATAGCAGAAATCTAAAAAGGATTTCGGTAATTAGTCGTTAATCTACCCGTTAGCTGTGGCACACACCTCACATTGGGTGGTGGTCTAATAAATTGTTAAGCACGTATGTGTTGTCGCTACTTCAACATCCTGCAGCCTCTTCCTTTTACAGACAGAGCAAGAGAAAACGTAATGTGACTTTGGTTGTTTTAAAATTAACATTTTGTATTTGTTCAGTACAACATGGACTCTGGCTTCATTAGTCCAATACATGTGCTTTATATAACCTCAATATTCTGACCAATCAGCTCCCTTCACACGTGTAGTTCAGTTGGTTCAGACCAAGAAAAAACATGACACACTGTTGCCTGGTAGCACTGGTCCCCACTGAGATATAATGAGAGATATACGACAGAAATGTCTGACACCATGATGGAAAGGCAACTTTAGCAGTGTGAGCTGTAGTTTTATTA